AAAAATGAATGAATTAATGGATAAAACACAAAGGGAAAATGAACACAGTGATATTTATAACCCTGCTTGGCGGCTTGCCCTAAACCAAGCTCTATTTTAGCCCATCTAATGCTGCAGCAGCCCAGGGAGGAAGGAAATGTGAGTGTCCCCGTTGGGTGGAAGGGGAGCACTGAGGCACAGATGCAAAGCGACTTCCCACAGCTATGTCCATCTCAGAGCCTCCATCAGACGCTCGGAGCCAGTCTGGTCACGCTTGGCCATGGCTGGCCTCCGGTGTTTGAGTTCCACCTCCAGCCACTCACAAACCACATCCCTGAGTGAACTCCTGCACTACCACAAACTGCAGCTCACGCCCATGCTGCGAAGACTGCGATTTGCTTGATTTGTATCCGGGGTCCCCCCAAAACCCCCTGCACTCAGAGGTGGGGCTTTTGGAAGGTGGTTAGATTAGGGCGCTTACAGCTGTTAGGGTGGGGTCACCATGGACGTGACCCGGAAGGACATCTCTCCCTTCGGCTCCTCCCTGAACTCTGCTTCCTGCCGGCCACGCTATGAGCAGCCGCCCCGTCATGTCCTTCTGCCGTGGCATTCTGCCTTGGAGGCAGAATAGGTCTGAAACTTCTGCACTGTGAGCCCAAACAAAGCCCTCCTGTATACGGTGGGTGTCCGGCGCTGTGTCCCAGCAACGAGGAAAGTCACTAAGTCAACCTCCCTGGTGAGAGCCCGGGGCGCACAGTCTGGCGGAGAGAAAGCGCTGCGTGATTCTGTCTTAATGAATGATGAAACCAAAGCACAGACCGGTTCGGAGTGGTGACGTGTGCCAGCACGCTAACACTGCCGGAAACACGGCGGTGAGAGCCGCGAGGCTGGAACCCGGGCCCCGGCGTCGGTCCTTAGCAAGTGCCCGGTGAACTGTGCTCATTCCAGGGACGGGGTGGCTGAGGGGAGGGGGAGGCTGGAGACAAACGCAGGGCCATCACAGCAGCCAGGGACTTCCTTCCAGCGAGCACAGCGTGGGCCCAGGGGAGAGAACCACCCCACCTTGAGGAAAGTGCAAGCACTCCCTCGCCCAGCTGATCAGCCGCGGAGGTGCCGCGTGCCCCGGCTGACAGACAGCACGGCTGCTACCCTCACCTCCCCGGGCCCCAGAAGCCTCATCGGGAGGAGCTAGCCGGCCAAACTCAGGTGGAACGACGCGCTGCGGAGTCTCCGAACCATCAAGGTCATCAGAAACAAGGAGCGCAGGCCTGTGATCCCAGCACTCGGGAGGCTGAGGCGGGACGATCACTACAAGCTCAAGGGTAGCCTGGGATACATAGTGAGTTCAAGGCCAGCCTGAACTACACAGGGAGACCCTGTCTCAAAAAACTAAAAGAAAGAAACAGAAGTTAAGGAAATTAAATAAACTATGCGCTTTATGTAGCAGTTATATATTGCTGTTGTTTCATTGTTTCCTTCATCATGACAAATGTAGCTAAGATACTAACTAACGCTGGGGGAACGAGGGGGCTGGGTACTATGCTATCATTTCAACTTGTGTGCACATGGAACGCTATCCTAAAGCAGTCCCCTTCTAAATTAAATACAGTGGCGATGTATCCGGTGGTGGGCTCCCAGGCAAGGTCTCCTCTCAGCTGTGCTTCCCTGCATTTGCTAAGTACTCCACAGTAAATACGCTTTGCTTCTGTCATCGGAACAATATTCAGTAAATGCTGCTTTTTAAAAAAATGATGAATGGATGGGTGGCGGGCCATTGGAGGTAAAGTGCTATGTAAATAAAAGTACGGTGAGAGTCGTTCCTTGGGCAGCGATGAAAACCCACTTTATCACTCCACACCCAGCAGCTCAGGCAGCCAGAGCCTGGCACCATCCCCAGGGAGGGTGTGGTGCCCCGAAGGCTGCCAGCGGGTTTCCCAACCCTGCTGTGCGGGGCACTTTGGGGGCAGGGGAAGGGGCCAAAGAGTGCCAGCAGGTGAGCTGGGGGTGGGGGGAATCAACCCTGAGAAAACTACGCCCACTGTGGTCCTCAGTTCCCTACGGAATAGGACGCGGGGCCAGGGCTACGTCCCCGGACCTCAGCAGCCCCTGGAGCACAGCCTCCACTATAGTCCGCCCCCTGGAAGGCGAGGCTCAGAGAGGCTCTGAGGCCCCGAGGAAACCCCTCCAGAGCTGCCCCTGACCCCCTTGGACACACTGTGACCGCAGCAGGGAGCTGGACCACATGCAAGGGACATGACACTGGGGAGCAGAGACTGACGGGGCAGCGACCTTCTGAAGCCTTCCCGCGACACCCCTCTGCCGCCACTGGACACTGAGGGCCAGGACCAATCTCAGGCTGGTTCTGGGGCCCGGGCACCAACTCGGGCTCCTGGATCACTACCTGTGGACAGCGACAGGATGACCCAGGTCCCCAGATGCTCAGTACGAGCGACTTCCCCCGCCCTGATGTCCAGGTCACACGTGCGAGGCCTCCCTTGGGCGGAATTGCTCCTGGCTACGCAGAAGCCTGAGGCAGGAGGCTGGACGGCTTGAGCCCAGCCTTGGAAGCTTAGAGAGCCCATGTCTCAAAGAAAATTTTAAAAGAGCTGGGGATGGAGCTCAGTGTGAAGGCGCTGGGTGCAGGCCCGGTACTGAAAGGAAGAAGCAGGCACAGGGGGAAGATACCTCAGGCGTCGCTGACGGTCCGGGGAAGGACCCCTCGGAGGACAGACCCTGTCGCCTGACAGCACGAAGGGCAGAGCGCTGATCTAGGAATGTGGAGAGCTGCTGCCTTCCACATGGCTCTCGGGCTCAGCCGTTCCAGGACCACCTCTGACAGACACCGACCAGCCTGCTTGGGCATCCAGGGTTCCCCTCACAGGCGCCCAGGAGCTCTTCAGACCCTCTGAGGCCACTCCGGAGAAGCCCAGGCCCCGCCCAAGCAAGGACTGCATGACAAGTGGCATTTCTTAGCGGGGCATGGTAGCACGCCCCTCTAATCCCACCACTCAGGAGGCTGAGGCAGGAGGATCTTAAGTGTAGACAAATTGAGGGAACCCTGAACTACATACCAAGGCCCTGTCCTCCCAAAACAGAAAGGAGTAGCACTTCCTTCCCAGTTGTTATTCGTCAGGCACCCTGGCCTTGATTGATGGCCAATGATTGTGTAGGAGTGTGTATGTGTGCGTGTGTGCGTGTGTGCGTGTGTGTGCGTGTGTGTGTGTGTGTGTGTGTGTGTGTGTATGCGTTGTGCCTGCTCTGTCTCAGACCCAAAACAAAGGCACTAAATCGTGGGGTGAGGGTGGGAGGCCCGGCCCACACCGCAGCCAGCCCTGCCTTCCTGAGCGGGGTTGTTTGTCCACTAATGAGCCCTGGGTGTTTGGCTTGGGCCGCAGCCAGTCCTGCTCCTGGGGGAGCGGGAGGGGGCAGAGCTCAGCCCAGACTGCAGGGCCTGGAGGCCGGGCACAGCCCCCTGGCACCCGCGCGGCCCACGCCTTCCTCCCCCACCGCAGGGACCTCCCAGGAGAAGGTTCCCCGCTCACCTCCCGGCCAGGGCCTGCGGGGGTACTGTGCTCTGTGAGTAAGCACCCAGGAGGCCTCCCCAGGGAGGAGTGCGTGCTCAGGAAGCTGACAACCCGTTCTGGGCGGGCTTGTGAAACTGCATACGTGCACTTCCGTGGAGTCTGCGGCTTGGGTGAGATTCTCCAATTAGATAGGTAGCCCCGTACACACTTTTTAAAAAGCAAAAGGCAGACCCGGCGTGGTGGTGCACACCTATTATCCCAGCACTCAGAAGGCTGAGGCAGGAGGACTGCCACAAGTTCAAGGCCAGCCTGGGCTAAGAGTGAGACCCTGTCTCAAAACAAGACAAAAGGCTAAGAAGCACAGGGAAATGAGATGTTTTCTAAGGTCAGCAGAGTCAGCAATGCTCAGGTCACAGCGAGGGTACAGGCTCAAGGGTCCGGGAAATCAAGATGGCAGAGCGCTAGGCCGGCGACAGGGCTACCACCTGCCAGGGAAAGGCACGGACACAGACGGAAGCCAGGCGAGGCCGCAGGTGCCTGGGCCTGAGGACCCTGCCCAGCCTCCCCTTCCGTCAGCCCGTGGAGCCCGAGCTGGAGCTGCGGAGGACGGCAGGCTGCACTGCGTCCACATGGGACCCCCAGCTCCTGCGCTGGAACCCCGGCCCCGCAGTGAGGTATTAAGCCCACTGGCTGCTCCGTGCCGCCCTGGGGGGCCAGGTGTGGTGAGGGCCTCGGTGGCTGCCCCTGCCTGGGGCACACGTGGTCAACCTGGCTGGTGACCACTCAGTGCCATCTCGGCCAGGGATCAGAGCAGGAGTCCCCGGGGGCAGGGCAGCCGCCACCCGGCTTTGGGGACCCCGCTCCTTGCCCACTTCCACTCTGGAATGAGAATGTCCGTCCCATGTGTGCTCCACGCCCCACACACATGGAGGTCCCGGCCTCTGAGCTGGTGGGGGGTGAGGGCTCACGCTGAGGCCTTCACATGAGACCGGCGCCCTGGACGAGGCCCCAGAGAGCTGCCCCGCCCTCCCGTGGACGCGGCGACAACGGCCATCCGCAGTACAGGACAGGCCCCGCCTGACTCGGAACCTGCCCAGCTGACCTGGGGCTTCCGGCCACATGATCCGGGGAAGTCACTTGCTGGGGTACAAGCACCCGGGCTGAGGCCCTGTGCCCCAGCAGCGATTGGACGGAGCGCGCCACCTGACTGCTCCTCCTCCGTGTCCCCACTGTGTGCCAGGGACGGCACCATGGCCCCTGGCCGAGTCCCCAGAGAAGGAGTCTGGGCGCCGTGTGCCCGAACCACGTGGGCCACGCCGTGGCGACGGCCTTCCCGGGTCCAGCTGCTGGGATGAGGGGTCTGGACCCACGCTCGGCGTGTGAGACCCACACAGCCTCCGCGGGGACAGTGAGTGGAGGGAGGGGCGCAGACGTGGGCACGAGCTCCCGGGGGACCAGGGCTCCAAGCTGCCTCTCCCACCACAGCCATGGACAACACGGATTCCCAAAACGCTTTATTGAATGTTCCAAGTGGCAAAACGTCATTGGTCTCCATAGGGCACCTCGAGGGCCAGGGAAGCTCCACCCGTTACAAAAATCGAAGGCCTTTATAAAAACACTAGAAACTGGTATCAAAAGAAAACCCACGGGAGGCTGAGGCAGCGGCAGAGGGAGGAGGGACCGGATCCCTCGACCCTTGCGGCGGAGGCAGGGCCAGTGGGTGGCGCAGGGTCGGGAGGCGATACAAAGTGCATAAATGTCCCCACGCTCCGCGGAGGCCGGGGGCAGGAGCTGCAGCCGTGTCCCCGTCAGGGATCCCAGGAACCAGCACTGCCTGAGACTGCCAGAGGGAGACCTGCGGGACCGAGACCACGTCAGGGCCAGCCAGGGGCGCCTCCACCCCACAACCGCCCAGCTGTGCGTCCGCACTGGGCACCGGGACGGCCCTGGGCACCTTCAACGGTGCCCACCCCGGCCAGAGGGCACACGGCCTCCCACGCCCGGCAGGGCCTCACCTCGGCGGCCCCTCAGACCTTCTTCTTCTTCAGCTTCAGGGCTTGCAGCCAGTTGGGCGAGGAGCCTTCGGACCTAGAAGGCAGAGAGTCAGCCGGGAGGCGAACTTGCAGGAGCCGAGGGGCAGAGGATGTGGGACAAGGCGGGGCAGAGCCCCTCCAGCCATCAGAGGGGCTGGGCACACAGCTAATTACTTAATTACGGCCTCTATTTCCCTCCGCTGCGAAGCGGGGTTCCCCTCCTAGGCTACTCCCAGGCCATCCAGGAAGCACAGAGCCCCGTCACCTACCCTGAGGACTTCTCTGGCTTGGGGGGTAACGCGAGGGGCTTCCCCAGCCCAGGGACCTTGCAGGACTTGGAGCGCTGCACGGCGGCCTCCTTTGGGCCTGCCTTGCCCTCTGCTGGCTCCACCTCCTCGGCAGAGCGGTTCCGGGAGCGCAGCTTGGCCTGCGGGAGGAGTCCAGACACAGGCAAATGAACAGGGACGGCGGCATGCGGGAGCACCGGGCCTACGGCACAGCGCAGCTGGAACACGCCTGACCGCTGTGGTCTCAGCTGAGCTTTGCACGAGGCGGGTGCCTCCAACAGCGCCGAACTCAACTCAGCAGCCTGGGCCAGACGCCTGCCCCGGCCCCATTCCCTGCCCAGCCCAAACCGGTCCCTGCACAGGACCCCACAACCCCGAAGGTTCTGGGACAGGAACACACTGCCAGGCTTCCGCGGGACACGCAGGCCTCAGGGCCTCTGGAGACAGCTCAGGACAGGGGAGGAGGCCGAGGCCCAGGGGAACGCAGAGGGGTGGAGAGCTGACAGGCTGGGCACGGGGACCCGGCCAGGCGGCTGCCGAGGACCAGGTGCTACCTTCAGGACTGACGGGCTCAGGCCAGGAAAGAGGCTGACTTTCAGCCCCTTGGTGCCCAAGGACATCCGGGTCCGGCGGCTCTGTGGCTCCTCCACGACCTCCTCGTCGGAGGACGGCACCCGAGACGCCCGCGGCTCTGCAGAGCAAGGACAGGGGCCACTGCACAGCCCGCCCGGACAGCCCCATCACAGCCCCTCACGCCACACGCACGCGGCCTCATACCCGAGGAGTCCTGGAAGAGGCGTGTGTCCGAGTCGGCGGCTTCTGCCAGCCCCAGGGTCCCTCCAGGACGGATGGCCGGGGCCCGGTGCCCTCGCTTGCGGCCCAGGTGGGCACGGCTCCGGTACATGGCGCTGTCCAGGACCTCAATGTCCTGGTGGGGACAAGAGCAACGCCCGTGACGCGCCCGCTCCCTGCCTTCCGCCCACCCGCATGGCTCCGGCTCCCACACTGACCTCGATGAAGGAGAAGTCCTGGCTGGAGCCGCTGGGCAGAGGCCCTGGGGGCGGCCGCCGTGGGGTCAGGGTTGAGTCCTGCTCCCCGTGCCCAGGCCCTGCAAGGCCCCAGGTGCCGTCCACCTCCTCCACACAGCTGGCTTCGCCGTCTGGCTGGGGCCTCCGGGCGGGCAGCAGGTCCCCACCGGGCTCCGCGGGCACTGCCTGGTTGCCACCTGCCGCAGCTCCTTCCTGCCCCGACAGCACGCTGAGCCCCGAGGCTGCGGACTCCCTGGGCGCCACCGCCTTGGCACTGCTGGTCCCCTGCAGCCCCTCCAGCAGGCCCTGCGCGCCAGGGGGCGGGGAGCGGGTGGCACACCTGCGGGGCAGCAAGGGGACCCACCTGAGGAGCGCCTGGGGGACAAGCCAGGGGGCTGAGGCGGTGTGTTCTCTCATTTTGGAACACAAGTGGACACACAGTGGGCCTCGGGCCGGGACCCCAGTCCACACCAGAACTCTGCCTGTGTCTCAAGCACACCTTGTGCACACAGCCCGGGGGACTCCGCGGACCGCCTCGGGGCACCGGTCTGACCGGGCCTCCCCCAGCGCCAGGTGCGGCATTTGCCTCATGCCCACAGTCCGGTTTCAAAGCACTCTGGGCTAGGCCTGCTCAGCCTGCGCCTCGGGGCCCCTCGGAGTCTCACAGGCCAAGGGGTGAGAAAGGGTCTCAGGCCTCCAGCCCGGGGCTGGCGTTGAGCAGTCACAGCCACTGCCCTGCTCCTGGGCACCTGCCAGTGTCACTGCCCCGGGGCGAGCCCGCCCGCCTGCCCCACCCATACCATGCTCCCGGCCTTTCTTTTGTTTTGATTTTTGAGACAGGGTCTCACTATGTAGTTCAGGTTGGCCTTGAACTTGTGACAGTCCTCCTGCCTCAGCCTCCCAAGTGCTGTGCAACACGGTTATCACCCTCAGCCTCACGGGACCACTGCCAGAACTGGGCCAGAACACACTGGCCTCTCGGCACAAGCTGCTCCCGACCTGGGCAGCTTCCCCTCACTGGGTCCCTTCCTGGACGCCCCCAGTGCACTCCCCTCCGCACACAGCACAGCAGCCTCTGCCCCGGCCCATGCTTGGCTCTGGGGCTTTTGGTCCCCAAGGCCCGTCGAGGCACCAGGTCCAGCGTCTGTGGCGAGCGGTGGGGTCCCCGCACCCTCCCCGCACCTCATGTGTCATTTGCCTGCTGGGGCTGCACCCAACACGAGCTCCCCCGCCCCAGCCGCCAGGCCTGAAGAACCCTCACTGTCAGCCCAACCGGGCACCAAGCGATGGGGCGGGGAGAGGGCGGCAGGGGAGGGCGGGGCCAGCGGGGCCGGTCCCTCCCCAGCCGCTGACCGAGGGACACCGGGGCACGTCGGGGGAGGAGGCCAGAGCCCAGTTACCCCAAAGCAGCAAGAGGGGCAGAGGTCAGCAGAGGGGTGTAGGCATGGGCACCCCAGGACCCAGCCTCACCCACCCCAGCACCTCGATTTCCAGCCAAGTGGGGTCTCCTGGCAGGGGAGCAGGGGCAGAGAGTGGGGGGTGGAGAATGGAGGGAGCCCTGACCCTGGCCTTTGGCCTCTCGGCCGGAGACCATCGGACCCCCCCCCAAGGCCCATGGGGAAACCTGCACCCAGTAAACGGAACCAGGAACCCTCCTCCTGCACACCAGCTCCTCCGGGCATCTACACCCGACACCCGTGTGACCCGCCCCGCCCCACCCCCGCACAGGGACCTGCAGACGCTTCCTGGTGGCCAAGACAGAGGGCGACGCTGGCCTGGACAGCACAGAGGCAAGGAGCAGCCCAGAGCTCCGGGGCCGGGCCGTGGGCACACACAGCAGCCCACCACAGGCCTGGGCACTCGCAGATGACAGGGCCTCGGGCCTCGGAGAGCGGGGCTCCCTGGGAAGTGGCCCAGCTGCCTCCACACCAACGCGCCAGGGAAGGCGCAGAGAAGAGCAAGCGACCGGAGAGTGGAGGGGACCCGCTCTCTGCTAGTGTGCGCTCGGCTGTGTCACTTCATCATGGAGGGTTCTTTGTCCCTCCTGAGGGCAGCAAGAAAAATGTCCCCAAGGAGCCAGGCGCAGCCGCACACGCCTATAATCTCAGCACAGGGGAGGCTGAGGCAGGAGGATTGCATGAGTTCAAGGCCAGCCTGAACTACACAGCAACATCCTGTCTAGAAAGAAAGAAAGAAAACAATGGAAAAAAAGTCCTGAAGGTCTCACTTTACGGACACCACAGCTGAACTTCAGAACAGACCCAAATACGTGTCTGACATTTTTTCAGTGATTACACAAGCCAGACGGGTCTGCAGCAGTCACTCTGCGTGCATTCACCTTTAGTCTCCACAAAAAACACCGTGGGTCCTAGAAGCAAAGGGTCCCTAACTTACAGAGAGGGCCGGGGGCACTGGGAGGAGAACACCCTTGCCTGAGCCCACAGCAGTGCCGAGAGAATCAGAGGCCAGAGCAGATGGGCCCAGGGCCAGGCTGCTCCCAGCTAATCTCCAGGACTTCCTGCTGGGGGAGGCCGCCAGACCTTCCTGAGAGAGGAACTTTCCATGGCGCGGCTTCCCCAGCCCGGCCGCCCATCAGCTCCGCCTGGGAACTGCGAACTCTCGCTGGAGACCCACGCCTCCTGCTGGGCCACTGTGCTTGGCGTCTTCCCGCCGTGCACGCGGACGGGGCTGCCCTGGGTCCCTTCGGGGAAGGCAGCCGAAGGCACGGCATGCACCTGGGCCCCAGCACCCGCTTCCTTCTCGCTCTGGAACGGGCTGTGTGGGAACCCGGCTGACCCCCAAGCTTAGGAAACGCCAACACCCACAGCCGTCCTCGGGGCAGGCAAGGCCCTCAGCAGGGCAGGCGGGGGCTGCGGGCCCTGCTCCTGCCGGTCTCAGGCATGCGGGGCACAAAGGTCACCCCACAGCCCATGTCCCCAAGTGGGTCACAGCCCCCCAGAGCTGGGGAGCAGTGAGGGACAGCAGGCGGCCGGCCCGGGGTCTGGGGCGCTCTGAGTGCCAAGGAGAGATGGGGGTGGCCACACAACGCCCCCCGAACCCTTCTCATCCCGGAGCTTCGAGCCTCACCTCCGGCGGGCGCCCCTGCCCACCCTCCCCACAGCCTCCAATCCCAGCTCCTGGAGACACCTGGGCCCCAGCCCTCTCCGCCTCCGCCCCAAATGCCCCTGCCACCTGCAGCCCCCTGCTCCTCCCACTCCCATCTGTCCCCACTCGGTGCAGCCCCCGCTACACCTGCTCTCCCCTCAGCCAGGGTTTCTACCCCCGCTGGGCGCTGCTGGCCTCCTACTCACTGGAGGGGCTCAGACCTTCGTGGGCGGAAACATTAGCAAAATAAGAGGCACTGCCTGTCACACGCTCTCCAGGAGACCCAAAGCCACTGCAGCCGGTGCACAGCCCCAAGACAGGCCACGGATTCACAGGCCACGGATGCGACCTGCCCGCTCCCTCCACCATGGCCTCCAGGCAACAAGGTCATGGCCGAGCCAGGTCCCAACTGCTCCAGGTTCCTGAGCTGCTGCCCGTGGGGACCCAGGGCAGCTGCGTTCCTAACCTTGGAGAACGAGGCCCAACATCCGCCAGACCAGGAAGACCCGTGGTCGCCAGACCTGTGCTCCTGGCCCAGCAGCACCTGTGGCTTCTGGTCTGGGTCCCAGAGCAGAGCCCACTGGGACGCGTGCCGCAGACTCCACTTCCCACACGGCTGCGGCTCCAAGTCACCGAGAAAGGCCCGAGTCACGGCAGTGACTGCCCCAGAGCCCACGACCGCTCTTCAGGCAGGAAACCTGCCTGTGTGTCCTACCTCGACACGAAACGACAGAGCGGAACTCGACACTCACGGCCCCAAAGGTCCGTGTCCGCCCCCTGCGGGAAGTCCACAGGGAAAGACCTCTGTGCAGCGCAGCCGCCCCAGCCCACGGGCTCCCTTACCTGGCTCCGCAGCCAGCGGCTTCTCCCATCTCCGTCCCAGAGTCTGAGGCGCGTGTCTCCGAGGAAGGCGCGCTGCTGTCTTCGCCCTGGCTCTCCAGCCTGCTCGTCTTGCCGACCCCCGACTGCCTGGCCTCCAAGCGGGGAGATGAGCTCCCGCTGCTCCTGCAGCCGGGCTCCCGGCCGGGCCCTGCCTCCCCCACCCCCCACTCCCTGGCTTCACTGGGCACTCCCGGCGGCACCTCGGTCTGCAGCCCCTCATCACGGGCCCAGTCCGTCTGGCCCACACCACAGCCCCGGGCACCCCCCAGCTCCAGGCCACAGGGCTCCCCCAAATTCCTCAGACCCAGGTCCTCCCCCCAACCCACCAGGCCCCCCGCCAGCTCTCCAGGCTCCCCAGGGACCACGTTCCCAAGCCCCAGGCTGGGGGTCCAGTCTGCCTGTCCCACTCCACACTCCCGGGATCTAAGGAACTCGCTGGCCTCTGCACCTGACCAGTCCGTCTGCCCCACGCCACTCTCTCTGGCCGGGCCGTGGCCTCCAGTCTCCCCAAACCCTGCCAAGCTCTGCACCCCGCTGCCCACACCAACGCATTCCACAGACCCGCGTGCCTCCGAGCAGCTGGCCAGGCCACGGTCTCGCACGCCCAGGCGGTCTGGCCAGCCCACCTGCCCCACGGCCCCCTCTCGGGCCTCAACCAAGTCCCCAAGGGCCCCACAGCTGGACGGGTCCAAGTTCCTGAGACCTAGCTGGTCAGCCCAGTCCCCAGGCCCGGCCACTGTCTCCCCAGGGGACACAAAGTGGTCGCCTCCTGCCTTGCTGGGGGTGCTCGGGCCGGCACCCGGCCCTCGGTCATCACCGATGATGCCGAACTGGGAGCTCAAGGCAGGGTGCCTCCAGTCCCGGAGGCCGGGGCTAAAACCTGCATCAGGCTGCGGAGCAACACCCAGGCTCAACTCCCCAGCCCAGCCTGGCTTCCCGGAGTCCCCATCCCCAGCGCCCGCAGGCCCCGCCACCTCCTGGCTGGTGCTGCCTCCCTGCAGCCGCCCGGAGCACCGCCCCTCTGGCTGGCCCACAGCCCAGCGGTCCTGACCACCCAGGGTCTTCTCCAACTCCTCCTCCTGCTGCCGGGCTGCCTGCGGCCCGAAGCCCCCGTCCTGCACATGGGCACTGTCGCCGTACTCCCGCATCCAAGCGCTCGGCCTGAGCTCCTGGTCCCAGCGCGCCGCTGCCATGCAGTCAAAGGCGCCGTGCGGGGAGTCCCTCTTCTCAAACTCCCGGTCCTGCTCCTCGGTGTCCTGGCTGCTGAAGCCCAGGGCCTTCTCGATACCCGACTCTCGGGCCTGCTCCTCGGGGGCCTGGGGGGCGTGGGTGCCCAGACAGCCTCTGGCCTCAAAATCCCAGTCCCGAAGGCTAGGTTCCTGGCCGGCGTACACACCCAGTGAGTCCCGCTTCTCGAACTCTCGGTCCTGGAGCTCTGCATGGAGGCTGGAGAAGCTGTTCCGCGACTCCCTCTTCCCTGATTCCTGGTCCTGGACTTCCACATCCCGGCCGGAGAACCTGTCCCAGGAACCCCTCTTCCCCGATTCCTGGTCCTGGAGCTCTGCATGGAGACCGGAGAAGCTGTCGTGGGACGCCCTCTTCCCCAACTCCTGGTCCTGGACTTCCGCATCCCGGCTGGAGAACACGTCCCAGGAATCCCTCTTCCCCAGTTCCTGGTCCTGGACTTCCGCATCCCGGCCAGAGAACCTGTCCCAGGAACCCCTCTTCCCCGATTCCTGGTCCTGGAGCTCTGCATGGAGACTGGAGAAGCTGTCGTGGGACGCCCTCTTCCCCAACTCCTGGTCCTGGACTTCCGCATCCTGGCTGGAGAACACATCCCAGGAATCCCTCTTCCCCAGTTCCTGGTCCTGGACTTCCGCATCCCGGCTGGAGAACCTGTCCCAGGACTCCCTCTTCCCCAATTCCTGGTCCTGGAGCTCTGCATGGAGGCTGGAGAAGCTGTCCCGGGAAGCCCTCTTCCCCAACTCCTGGTCCTGGACTTCCGCATCCCGGCTGGAGAACACGTCCCAGGAATCCCTCTTCCCCAGTTCCTGGTCCAGGGCACTGGCCTCCCAGCTCTGGGTGCCAGGCAGGGCTGGCTTTCCAACCCCCCGGCCGTGGGCCTCGAGCTGCTCCGGGGCACACACATCACTCGGGGATTGGCTGCTGCCGACTTCAGCCCGCTCCCTTCCGCCCCCTTCCCGGGCTCCTGGGCCACACTCCCTAGCCCAGTCCCCGTCCCCGAGGCCCGGGTCTCCTGCGGGGCTGGTACCCCCGTGGTTGTAGTCCTGAGGAGCAATGCGGGACCAGCCAGAAGGCCCCACGCTGCTGGGGTCCGGGTCTGCTGCGATCCCAAATTCACTCTGCAGATCCTTCTGGGCCCAGCCAAGGAGTCCCTGGGAGGAAAGGAAAAGAAACACAAAGACACAACACTCAGAGGGAAGCAGAGCAGGAGTCGGCCCACAGCGAGGTCAGTGCCGCCTGCCGGCCCAACTGTCCAGGGCCGGGTTCCAGCTGCGGCTGTGAGCGCCTCAGCAAACCACCTGAGCCACTCTGGGCCTCGGGGTCCTCGTCCCTCACCAGGGACGAGCCCCACTGCACAAACGAGAGCCTCTGAGCAGCGTGCCGCACAGGCCTGGCACCAAAGGGCACCCGCCGCCGGTCCAGGGTCATGTTTACAGCCTTGGGCAACACCTGGCTCCCTGCCGGGGGCAAGGCCCCCCCAAGGACCGGTGGCACTGGGCCCCTCCGCAGCTCCCCTCAGTGGGGGCAGAGCCCCTCAGCACCCTCAGCGTGCGGAGCTGCTGCGCGCAGGGCTCGCTGCCCCCATGGCCTCTCACACTCACCCCCGACCGCGGCGGGCCAGTCCCCGGCTCGGGGCCTCGCAGCCTGCCGGCCTCGTCCCGCAGGGCCGCATTGGCGAGCAGCCGCCGCAGGATCGACACGCTGGGCTCCCCGTCCCCGGCCCCGGCCATGGCCCCTCCGCCCACACTGGCGACCGCCCCGGGCTGCTGGGTGCGGCAGCAGCGGCGGCGTCTGGACCTGTCGGGCGGGCTAGCGCTCTGGCTCCGCTCCTTGCCCTGGCTCTACTCCCCGGCCCGGCAGCTGCAGCGGCAGCCCCGCCCAGAGGCCAGTTGAGTCACCCTGGCCGGGACAGACACACCTACTGCGGAGTCTTAACCCTTCCTGTTCCTCCACCCCACCCCTGCCAGCCCGGCCCGGGACCTCAAGCTCAGAGGCGGCAGCCTGCGAGGAGAAGGGGCCCCCACTTGCTGGACCCCAATGCCCATCCAGAGTGACGCGGGTCACAGAAGCAACGCCCGCTGAGCACTCCCACCAGCTGGGCTACCTCCTCTCAGACGGACACCACGGCAGAGGGTGGCGGAGTCACACGCTCAAGGGTGCCTCCACACAAAGCCAGCAGTGCCAGGTAACAAACCCAGGCAGGCCTGCAGGGCCGTCAGAGGCTGAGCCCAGCCCTGACCTTTGGCTGTGCTATTTTGCCTTGCACAATATTCTGACAATGATGGACTACACACTCAGCAACACACACAACACCTAACACCTTCTACACTTCATTTTACCCGCAGCATGACGCTAAGAGACAAATGCCACTTTTGTGAGATGGGTCTAGCCATGTAGCTCAAGATGATCTTGAACTATATAGCCCAGGCTGGCCTCAAACTCACAGAGATCCTCCTGCCTCAGCCTCCCAAGAGCTGGCATTACAGGAGCATGCCACCACACCCGTCTCAATGCTATTATTATAAGACTGGAGGAGCCAGGAGTGCCCTGGTGCAGGCCACTTGCCGAGCATGCTCCCAGATCCCCACATAAAAGAAAATGAAGGACCCTGAAGCTTAAAGGTTCGCTCCCGAGCCCCTCTGCCTCAGGTTCTGAACTCACACCACAGCTAACCCCAGAACCACCCCATGCCACACACCGCCTCACGGCTGCCCCAGCTCCTGTCACACCAAGCCCATGCTGAAAGGACACAGCCCAGGCCTGGGCTCCACCCCTGTGAAGTCCTCACCTCGGGGCGGGCGCTCGGGCATGGCCTGCCCTTCGGCGCTGCTGGGGAGGCCAAAAGTTCATCCAGCCAGTGAGCACTGCCACCAGGCCCCATGGGCTCAGGGGACGCCAGGCGCCAGTCCTGGGCCTCCGTCATGGGCTGGGTGGTCTCAGCCCGGGCCATGGGCACTGCCTCCTCCACGGGCAACGCCTGCCCAGGGCTGGGTCCATTGGCAAAGAGGACGCAGGGCTGGTCAGGGGCTGCTGGCTGCTGCTGGCCCCGAACGGGCTCCAGCAGGGACAGGGCGGCCTCTCTGGTGACCGGAGGGAGCGGGGCCTCCTGTCCAGCTGGCGGCTCCCGGGGCTGCGTCCTGTCCTCGGCCTGCAGCAGGGGCGGTGCCTTGGACGTGAACAGGGGCTCAGGTGATGGGGAGACCCCTGGCTCTTCTGCCTGCACCCAGGAAATGGGCCTCCCTGCGTCCCCAGGAGGGGCCCGGGCCGCCTCCCCCTGCGGGGACACAGCGCAGCTGCCGGCTTCAGCAGCCTCCACCGCCTCGCTGGCTTCCGTGATGGGCGAGGGAGGCGGGGAATCCAGGCGCAGCACGCCCAGACCCGAGGGCCGCGCAGGGAAGCTCCACTCGAAGGACTGCGACAGGCTCCAGTTGGACTCCGACCCACTCCCGAAGGGACGATCCAGGGCCATCTGGCTCCCCTGGGTCTGGGGCAGCGCGGCCAGCGAGCCCCCCAGCTTCTCCTGGCCCCGGCTGGGCGGCCGGAGGACACCTTCAGAGAAGCGGCGCTGAGCTAGGTTGGCGGGACAGAGGTTGGGGTCCCCCTCGGGAGCCACCTCCTCCCTGGACGGAAACGTCCTCCTGAGCTCTGGCACCTCAGTCCCCTCAACGAGGGGCTCCGGCGGGCTGGTCGGGGGGTGCTCGGGAGCAGGGTGCTCCGAGACCAGCTCAAGGGGCGGGCTGCTGGCACTGGGGGTCTCTGAGGCTGCCTCAGAGGGGAGCCCCGGGCCGGAGGCCTGACAGAGGCCCTCCGCAGCAGTGGGCGGGGTAGTGCTCAGGGGCGGGGCAGTCACAGGGCAGCAGGGAGAAGCCTCAGAAGTCGCAGGACTCTGGGCTCCGGGGAGCTGAGCATGCTGGGGAGAGCTCTCCGGGCGTGAGGAGGGCTGGGGGGACCCCAGAGCTGGGCCGGCGACATCTGCAGGGCAGCCTGGACTGGAGGGGACCCAGGCCTTGGCGGAAACCTGCAAGACAAAGGTCAAGGGTGTCAGTCACTGCTCAGCTGGCTGCAGGACCCCAGCCCCAGACGCCTCCAGCCACAACCCGGACAGGAAACCAGGGTGCGGGCAGTCGGGGACCAGCATGGATGGGGCAGTGACACCCCAACTTCTAGGGTCACAAGAGTCCTCCGCAGGCTGTCTCCCATGCCTGTACCTCGCAGGTAGCCAGGTCACCCTTCCTGCCACCACCCAAACCAAAGCACACTGGTCCAAGGGTCCCCCAGTGTTCATTGTCAGGGATTCTGGGAGCAGAGCATCCAGGAAGCAAGGGACCCTAAGCCATGGGGTCCAGCGCCACCCACAGCAGCAGAGACAGGACAGCCCCGGGCTTGTGCTGGCACCGCCTCCAGGAGCTGAGGGGCCCCTCCCCGGGTCTGAGGCTCAGCTTCCCCCGTGTGCATGGGGCTGTCGGCAACATCCCCTCACAGTGCTACAGCTGTCCCCTGCTGCTGGACATGGGGTGCAGGCAACACCAGGGAGAAGGGCAGAGGGCACCAGGCCCTGGCGCCCCTCGGCCTGCTCCGTCTGACACTGACCCAGAACTCATGGACCGGCCACCTGGCCAAGGCGGCCGCTTCAGTCTCGCTCCCAGGCTCCAGTCCAGGTTCTGCTGGCCTTGAGGCCCATACCCAGGCTCCGCCCTCCGGCCCTGTGACACTCTGGCTCCAAAGCCCATGCCCGTCAGCCTTGACTACCAGCACCCTTCTACGGGCAACTCCTACAAAGCCCTCCTCCGGGACCCACGCCGCCTCCACCAACTGCCCTCACCCAAGTGGCACCGAGCGGCCCCTTCCACGCAGGGCAGGGCAGCAAGCCACCTTGTCCCGTCCTCTCCGCGACAAAGGCAAAGCTGGCTGTCCACTCAGTGGGCGCTGCCCTCTGTCCTGCCCACCCCTCCCCTTCGCCAGCCCCTCTCGGGGCCCACCAACCCCAGCCTTCTCTCCTGCTCCCCAGCCTCCTGCACATCCCTCCGGGGCCTCTCGACCCCGGTCCCCACACCTCCGCGCCCTCCTGGCTCCTGGCCCGGCATCCCAGCCCCGGGGACAGAGGCCACGGCAGAGGACGCTGCGCCCTGTGTCCTCCGCAGATGGGCACTGTCCTTGCTGGGGGCGGAGGCCAAGCCTCCTCTCACGCATCACCCCCCTCTGGTTCTGGCCATCGCACGCCAACTGTTCTCAGCTCTTCCGTCCTGAACAAAACCAAAACATCCCTCCTGACCCCACGTCTCCTGGCAGCGACCGCCTGCTCTCCACAGGCTTCCAGTCCCCAGACGGACTCCTCCCTCACCTTTCCGCCTGCCTGCTCTGGTTATGGTCGGAGTGACCTTCCTGAACAGAATCCATTCTGGTGATCACCTCACGCAACCCACACAGATCCCAAAGGTATCAGGCGTGCTGTTGCACACCTGCAATCCCAGCACTCAGGAGGCTGAGGCAGGAGGATGCCCGCCTCTCTACCTTGGGAGGAGGGCTCTGAGGGCAGGGAGCCCTCAGGGGGGCTTTTGTTCTCTGCTGCTTCCCTGACACCTGCTTATGGCAGGCGCTAAGCCAGTACAGGCGGGATGGACGCAAACAGAGTCAGGCCTCTACCCCAGGGTGGGTAGAGGTGAGCACGAACTTCCAAGCAACAAAAACCACTTTGCTACAAATTCCTTGGGAAAACCGATGCTGTGCGGGGCAGAAGAAGGGATTGAAGAGGAACCCCAGAAAACAAGACTGCCTGCTCCGAAGCCGGAGGAGGGAGCTCTGGAGGTGGACACTCCCCTTCCGGCCTCCGGCCCTTCCAGCCTCCTCCTGCCTCCTGTGGACTAGCAGGGCCTCTGCCCGGGTGAGCCGAGGACTGGGCGGCCATGGTGCGGCAGCTCGCCGCGAAGACACTGCCTTTCACAGCTGCTGTTCACAAGCACGCGCCACCTCGCGAGAGCCACGCCTGACCACGGCACCGTCAGGACCCTGGCCTGGACACTGAGACCCTGCCGCCAGCCCTTGGGCATGTCCACGGGCCTCACTTTCCCCTTCCGAACTACACACACCGCGGAAGACGACGCCAGAGGACCCCCCAGGCTAAACGCCCTGCTTGGACTGGGGCGGGGGGCAGGACTCACGTCACTTGGTGGCTCGGCGGCGGCCGGCTGAGCCAGGTCCCCGTTGACGGCCAGGTCAGAGGAGGGGCCCCTGTGAGGGACACAGACAGGGTGTGAAGAGCAGGAACGAAGCCGAAGAGGGGAGAGGGGCTCTGCGCCTCTCCCAGCACCTCTCCCGAGGCCTGACGGGCACCCCACGCGCCTGCCCACTGCAGCGCAAGGGTCAGAGCCGGCTCTGGGTAAAGTGCCAGGCCCAGCCCTAAACCCGAGGGGCAAAGCCCCTGCAGCCCAGTGCAGCCGGGTCATGGCTGGGCAGGTCACGCCCTGTGCACTGGGACTGCACTGCTTGGCCCCGGTCTGCGACAAGCAAAGGGGACTCTGGTTTTTAGGCGACAATGGGCCAGGTCTTCAGCATCCCCTTGGGCAGGGCCACGCTCTGGGGCCAGCGGGCCTGACGCTGGCTCTCCTTGCCCGATGCCGGCTCCTGGGGTACCCCCCCAAGATCCCCCCAAGATCCTGCATGCACCACCCCAAGAGGACCTCCTGAGCATCCCCCACCAACTGTTCACGGAATACCCAGTGCGCTCCTGGTCCTGCCCCCTCTGCCCCAGGGGGTGCAAGCAGCAGGGGCCTGGGCCTTGGGACGGGACAGGGCAGATCGGAGCTCAGCCTGCACCTCTGCCCCCACCTGCTCAGCAGCTGTGGGAGCCACCTTGGGCCTCAGTTTCCCCGTCTCTAAAACAGATCTAAATGTAGGCCCTCCCAGCCCTGGAGTCTGTGAGGCAGGCTGGGCCTCGTTCTCGGGACACACAGACTAAAACCGCTGCACTCAACACTGACAGACTCCAGCAACAGAAATTTTTTTTTTTTTGGTACTAGGGATTAAAACCACGGGTTTTGTCCTGAGCTACTTCCCCAGCCCTTTTTTATTTTGAAACAGAGACTCAATTCTTTGCTAAATTGACTGGACTGGGCTCGAACTTGCAATCCTCCTGCCTCAGCCTCTCAGAGTCCTGGGATGACAGGCATGTGCCACCATGCCCAGCACACAATTACGAAGTTTTTCAGAATATGCGGTCCCGGTGACACTGCCTGCCATGGGAGCACTTTTTGAATGTGGTGACTGCAGTCCACCCAGCACTCGACTTCTAAGGGCAAATAAAGGTCGCAGCTACAAAGGGGCCACCCACAAGACCCTCAGCTCTCACCTGGCCATGGGGGTCTCGCCATGCTCTTCTCGGCACTCTGCTGGAGCCAGGGCCTCTGTGGGCCCCTCCTGGGACCAGCCCCTGGTGAGGGCAGTCCGGGGGCCGTAGCGCAAGCTGCCATCCTGGTTGAAGGAAAGGCGCGAGCCCCAGAGCCGATCGGGGCTGGGCGGGACCTCCTTCCTGGGCTGCCCCATCTTGGCCAGGATCTCCTCCACCGTGGTGGCTGCACAGCGCTCTGAGGATGGGCGGAACGGGGCGGGGGCCTTCCGCACACCCCCCGGGGCGGCACAGCGGGCAGGCGGGGTCGAGGGGGGCGGCTCCTCTTTCCCAGGCTCCTGGGCGGCTTCTGCAGCAGTGGCCTCGGCCGCAGGCCTTGGCGCGAAGGGCAGGGGGCGCTTGCTGCCCCCATAGGGCTGGGGCCCAGCCAGCATGTTCATCTTCCGGGCGGACGGCAGCTCGGCCAGGGGGCCCCGAGGCGGCCGAGGCCCTATGGGCACCAGCAGGCTGGGCTTGGCGGGCAGGGCTGGCTTGGCGGGCAGCGCCCGGGGCTTGGGCTTGACAGGGGGCTTGGCCCGAGGGTCACCTGCGGAAAGGAAGTGTGGACGGAAGCGGGTGGTCGTCACGGGTTCCTCACCACTGAGCCTCCTGCCCCGCAGCTTCAGGGCTGTGTGCCCTAGGCACAGGTCAAAGCCACCTGCTGCCCGAGGCCCGCCTGGATTATCCAGCGGGTCACACCTGCTGCTCCTCTCCCACCTCCCGCTCCCGGCCCGCTGGTACCTTATCTGTCCTCCTCACTGCTCACACCTACCCAAAGCCCCCACCAAGCCAGCATGGACCAGCGAGGTAGCCCTCCGCGCACCGCCCACCCGCGAGGAGCAGCTGCCACGTGCCCAGCCCTGGCTCTCCTGCAAAGCACAGCCAGCCCGACCTCCTCCAGGCTCAGGCTCAGGCTCAGGCTCAGGCTCGGATCTCCACCTGCCGGCGCCGTCCCCACCCCCACCCCTCGCGGGCACCTCCCCTCTGTCATCTGGTGTGTGACCAGGAATGCAAACTTACTATTGACCTAAGCCAAACAGAAGTACATCGGCTGCAAGGAGAGGAAAAAAAACCAGGCCAGAACGCACCTTCTACAGGTCGGTCTCCGCCCGGCCCTACCGTAAGAGTCCCACCGCCCACTCCTTCAGCTGCGCACGAGGGAGGACTGCACAGGAAGCCGGGAGGCCCGCTGCCTCGGTTTCCCCCAAGACAGAACACGTGGGCCCTGCCGGTGACCGCGGCCTGCGTGGGCGCCCCCCACCTCGCCGCGCTCCCCGGCCCCCAGCCGCCCCGCCCTGCGCCCCTGGGTACCTGGCTCGGGGCCAGCGCCCGGCTCCTCCTCTGGGTCCCGCGGCGGGGAAGCCATGGCTGTGCCCTCCGGGAGCGCGGGCACCTCCGCGCACGGCCGCGCTGCCTGCGAAGGGGCGGGGGTGAGCCGGGGCTGCGACCCCGGCGGGCACGGGGGTCGAGGCGGCCGGCGGCCGGGAGGTCTCCGCTCCCAGCAGAGCCGGCTCTCGGGACAGCAGGAGGCCACTTCAGGCGGGGTTCGGGGCGGCCACGGAAGAGCCCCAGAGCCTCATCCTCAACTCTGCCCAGACCCGCTCCACTCCGGCCGCCTGCCACGCCGGCGCGCCCGCGGCTCCCCAGCACCCGGCCAGCGCCCCGCGGCAGGATCCACTCCGGGCAGGGCAGAGGACCGGCTCTGGAGTCTCCGGGATCTGAATCACCTCCCGGGAGACGGGAAAAACCCGCTCCTCCCCAACCTGGGGCTCCGCCCCACCCTGCCCCCTCCCCCCCCACCTGGGAGGGGGTCCCCCCCCCCCCCCTTCCACACCCCCGCCCCCTCCCCCCCGCCGGCTGTCTCATCCAAACACGGAAAAATAAGGCATAAAAAGTAAACATCTGGAATGCATTTTTTTTTCCTTTAATTTCTCAATTGCTTTGGCTTCAGCTTGGAATTGGATGAGGTAAAGTCAGGGCCTAGTCCCGTTGCCATAGCAATGGCCTCCCACTGGATTTCCAGAGCTGGCCAGGAGGAAGGAGGAGCCGGCCAGGGCTGGGCCCTGACGAGGCCGGGTTGGGGCTGGAGAACATCCGGCGGGCGGGGCAGCTTGTGGGGAAACTCCCCAGGCTCCCCTCCCCAGCCCCTCAGGATGGGGTGGGCCTTGAGGGAAAGGGAGGGAAATAAGCCAGGTGACAGCCACGTGGTAGACACCAACAGGGTCCCCTCCTCTGAGCTTCAGAGGAACTGTGGGTCCAGAGGTTCTAGTATTCTGAAGGGGGGTTCCCACTAATTTCCAGCTGTATGACTTCCCTAAGCCTCAGCTTCCCTATCTGAAAAATGGGGCTCCTGGTAGACTCTCAGATTTAAATGAGGTAACCCACGAAAACTTGGCCATTATTACCGTGATCAGTAATAACGTCCCGTCACCACCTCCTCCTCACCCCGCGCCCCAGGCCACCGCATTCCAGGGCCATTTCCTCAGCCCTCCAGGTCCACTCCTGTCGCCCACTTGAGGTCTGCGCCACCAGCTCCTCGGTCCCTCACACATCCCGGGCTGGGCCGAGGAGGAGAGCCCTGCCCACCTGTTCAGAGGCCGGGGAGCCGCTTCCTGTCACCCGGTAGGTACTCGGCCCAGCCCGCTCCGCCCCACCAGCCAGGGTTACAACCTCCCGACACCCTCCAGCTGGCCCGAGGAGGGGCGGCTCAGTCTTAGCGGAACCCACCCCAGCCTCCCTCTCTGATCGTGTCCCGGCGTGTCCAAGACAGCCACGGGCACGCAGGCAGCGGAGAAAAGCGGGGAGCCCGGCCCGCCGAGCCTTGGATCGGCCCACTCCCGCGGAGGCCTGCCCGCGGGCGTGCACGTGGTCCACGGCCAGGCCGAGGGCGAGGGAAGACGGGCATCTCGTTGGAAATAAAGCAAAGGGCCCGCGACCGCTGCCCCGTCCTTGAACGGCATCGCAAGGGGCACGGCGTGGGTGGGCAGCAACGCGGACCAGCGCGCAGAGCGGGGACACCTTCTCACCCGCACCTGCCGGGCACCGCTGCGCTGCGGGGGCTGCCGCCCCGAGAGCGCTCGAGGTCCCCAGTTGGGGGGCCTGAGTTGCGCGGAGCCCACGGCCAGAGGCTGCAGGAGCGCAGCGGGTGGAGCGCCCCAGCCCACCCACCCCAGGAGACCCAGAAGCAGAAGGCGACCGGAGGGCCAGGGGCTGGGCCAGGGCCCCAGGGTCCCCGGCGGGGACCGGAGCGCCCGAGAGCGGCTGGAGACGCAGCGGCCGGGCGAGGGGCTGCAG